CATTAACAGCTGCAATGGACATTGGAAACTAAGAAGGTTGGAGGGCAGGAAGGGCATGAGAGATAAAAATCTACCTGTCGAGTACAATGTACACTATTCTGTTGACGGGTACACTGGAAACCCTGACTTTAGCATGATTTATCCATGTTAAAAAAAATCACCATACCCCTAAATTTTTGTAAATAAAATAAAATTTGTAAAGACACAGTAGCATAGCCTTAATATATATAAAGCAAATATTTATAGAACTAAAAGTTGAAATAGACCAACTTGCAACCACAGTGGGAGATTTTAACAGGAGTCTTTATGTAATGATAAGACAACGAGCAAAATTATTGCTAAGGTCACAGAAGGTTTAAACAATATATGTGATATTAGGGTGACTGGCTGTCCATGAAGATCAAAAAAAGAAAAGAAATTTACACCATGAGTCAAAATGACTTTTAGGTGGGCTAAAGCACCAATTGCAAGAGGCAAAACCATGAAGCTTATTATGGAAGAGAATAAAAGATTATCTTCATGACCTCAGGGTGGTAATGAATTTCTTAGACAGAAAACAAATATAGCTAATCATAAAAGGTTATAAAGAAACTAAACTCTGTTAAAGACTCCTGTTTATTCAAATTCACTATCTTTTTTAAAAAAAACAGTCAAAATAGAAACAACAGTGATAGAAAATACATACGATACAGATTACTAGCAAAGAACTAGTAGTTTGAACTAGTAGAGTAGAACTAGTAGAATATACGAAGAACCTTACAAGTCCAGGAGAAAAAGCAAACTGCCCAACTGAGGAAATGGGCAAGAGATTTGAATCAGCACTTCACAAAAGGGAAAATCTAAATGGCCAATAAACATACAAAAATTTGTTCAACCTCACTATTAGTCAGGGAAGTACAAATCAAATCCATGACTCCTATGATATTTGCAAAATTTAAGAAGTTTGACAATTCTCTGTTGACAGCAGTTTGGAAAACAGTATACATTATCTAATAAAGTTGAGGAAGCAGGAACCCTAGGACAGAGCAATTCCATTGCTAGGTATGTACCCTGAAGAAATGCATGCTACATGTCCCAGGTTAATATACAGGAATGTCGATAGCAGCATTATTTGTAATTGCATTGTATATACACGGGAAACAATGCAAATACCCATGAAAAGTGGAATGGATGAATATATCAAAATGGTAGATTTATGCACTGGAATCTATGAAACAACAACAAAATGGGCTAGACACACAACAACATATGTGCATCCTACAAATACAGTTGAGAGGCTGGGCATGGTGGCTCATGCCTGTAATCCTAGCACTCTGGGAGGCCAAGGCAGGAGGATCACTCAAGGTCAGAAGTTCGAGACCAGCCTGAGCAAGAGTGAGACCCCCGTCTCTACTAAAAATAGAAAGATATTAATTGGCCAACTAAAAATATATGGAAAAAATTAGCCAGGCATGATGGCGCATGGCTGTAGTCCCAGCTACTTGGAAGGCTGAGGCAGGAGGATCGTTTGAGCCCAGAAGTTTGAGGTTTCTGTGAGCTAAACTGATGCCACGGCACTTTAGCCCAGGCAACAGAAGTGAGACTCAGTTTCAAAAAAAAAAAAACACAGTTGAGAAAAAAAGCAAGACAAGAATACGTTAGGATGGTTCCATTTATATACAGTTTAAACTCAGAGAAATAGAAACTATTTTCTTTTGAATGCATTTGCAAGTCGTAAAACTATCGAGAAAAGCAAGAAAATTATTACCATAAAAGTTGAGATTTTGGTTGTTTCTAGAAGAGAAGGAAGGGATGGCAATTGGAGGGAAATACGTGTTCTGTCTTCTACGGGTATCCCTGTATAACTTTCAGGCTTCTTTCAATGATAGAGGAAGTGAGGAAACAGAAAAATGGAACCATTGGTTCCCCTGTTCTCCTGCGGGGCACCATCACTCTGCAGCCTGGAGGGAGGAGTATGGCACATGCCCCTGAAGGTGAGCAGTTATTTCAACCCTGGCCCTGAAGCTAGGACACTGATTGCTCCAGGTCTCAGGTACCCTGGGAAATACCTTTGCAACTGGCTACAAACCTGTGCACCTGAGCAGATCTCTTCTGGATCTTTGATTTTATCCTGCATCAACTTACCTGCAGGCAACAGAGATGGCAAAGGAATTCCTAATGTGCATAATAGGCATTCCCGAAGCCTGGGGGAGCTTGTACCAAAAATGACTTGCCCAGACCCCCCAGCTGCAAATGATGCAATCGAGAACATGGCGCAATTGAGATTTAAATCCATGTTTGTCCGGTTTCTAATCTAGGTTCATGCCAAGGCTGCCTCTGCCTCCTTCACTCTTTAATTTGCAATGTGATGAGATTTTAAAGTTAAAGAAAAACAACCAAAAACTGGTAGCTCTTTAAGATGTCAGAGGAGCATTTATTTAAAATGAATAACTTTTTAAAAAAATGATTCATTAGCATCACTTAATGTATTTCTAACTTTAGCTTCTAGGCAGGGTGTTGGATACTCTGAGTCAGGTTTGCTGATAATTCTCTTACCCTTTATCTTCCCTAAAATAGATGAAGGGACATTCCTAAGAATTGCAGTCACACACTTTGCTCCACACCCCACAATCCAGTCCATTTCATCTTTAAAAGATAAAAACTCAAGCATTATAAAAGTGATCCACATAATTAAAAATATTTGTACCCCATTATACTTTGAAATTTTAAAATTTAAAAAAATAAAATGGAGATAAAAGTATTAAAATATCTACCTCAAAGTTCTGATTTTTGGGGTCAAATATTATAGCTTAATATTAAGATTCTTCCACTAGAATCAACAGAAATGTAATGTTAACTGAGGTAATTCACACTAACCTTTTGAAGTTCCCACTTTATTCCAGTTCAAAAGTCTCTGTAATTATGAGCTTTCTCAATTTTGAAATGGCCACTTCCCCAGAGTAATATATTATCTTCATTTGCAAATCAGCATAAAATTAGATTTGGGTTTGGTTCCTAGTTTAGCAAATTAGGACTATTTGCTCTGATCTGGAGTTTTATATTTGGTTCAAATCCCTGTCTATAGCAGTTATTAGGAGAGTGAATGTCTTCAATTTTCCCAAATTCTAGCACTTGCTTTTTTTTTTTCTTCCTTTTATTTCATCATATTATGGGGGTACAAAATTGTTAGTGTTACAAATATTGCCCCTGCCCTCTCCCTCCCCCCAATGTGCCAGAGATTCAAGTGTGTCCAATCCCTGGGAGGTGCGTACCGCGCACACTATGTAAGTACACACCCTTCTCCTCCTCCCCCTCCAGCCTGCCCAACCCCCGATAAAAAGTTTTTTTTCTTTTTTAGTTTTTTTTTTGACATTTTGATTACATTGTATATCTTCACCTCTCCCTAAGAAGGGTTAGAGTTATGCCCTTCCCCTCCAAAATGCTCGCCACATCCCTAATATTGGGTCTGTCCGCCCCCCCAATCCCTGGTGAACACTACCACCATTTGAGACCCATAGTTTTAATCAGTCAGAACCAATTTAATGGTGAGTAGATTGTCGAAGCACATTTTGCTATGATCATATGTGTGCTCACTTTGGATAACGGTTAAGCTTACTTAATCCAGGATAGCATAAACGGTGCTAGCAGTAATTAAAAACCCCTCCAAACGGAAAAGTTCTGGGCCAGATGGCTACTCTGCAGAGTTCTACAAAAATACAAGTGAACTCTACGTATACTACAGAAACTATTCCACACATGAGAAGGATGTAATCCTTCTAACTCATTTCTATGAAGCCCAATCACTTGATACCAAGCCAGAAAGGACACAAAAAGAAAATTATCAGACCGAATATCCCTCATGCGAATACAGACACCAAAAACTGCCTAATAATTTTAGGGAATAGTATTCAGCGACACACATCAAAAAAATAATTCAGCCAGGGACCAGGTGGCTTTATTCCAGAGATGCAAGGATGGTTTTCAACATACCGCAGTCATAAAATAAATGTTCATTCATAAATAAAATCAAGAACAAAGACCCAATATATTCTGTCAATAGATGCAGAAAAGCATTTGACAAAGTCCAACACACTTTTGTGATAAAAACTCTTAACAAAATAGGCATACGACGGCTCATACCCGTTAAATTTACAAATCCACCGTATGACAACTCACTGCTAATATCAATTCTAAAGGGGAAAAATTGAAAATCTTTCCCCTTCAAAAAAAAACCTCTGGAACTAGCACAAGGTGCCCACTATCTCGCTCTCCAAACTACTTCAGCATAGTGCTTGAAGTCCTAGCGATAGCAATCAGGCAGGAGAGGGGTATTAAGGGCATCCAAGTGGGGGGAGATGAAATCAAACTCTTGCTCTTCACTGATGATATGATATTATACCTAGAAAACCCCATGGACTCTTCCAAGAGACTCCTAGACTTGATAACTGAATTTGGTGAAGTTTCAGGTTATAAAATCCATATACACAAATCAGAAGCATTCATATATGCCAAGAACCATCAAGCAGAAACTCAAATCAAAAACGCAATACCCTTTACTATAGCCCCAAAGAAAATTAAATATCTAGGAGTATACTTAATGAAAGATACAAAAGATTTATACAAGGAGAACTATGAAACACTAAAAAAAGAAATTGGAGAAGATTTAAACAGATGGAAAAATCTACCTTATTCATAGATTGGTAGAATCAATGTAGTTAAAATGTCAACATTACCTAAAGTGATCTACAGAATCAATACAATCCCCATCAATATACCATCAGCATTCTTTACAGATCTAGAAAAAATAATTCTTCACTTTGTATGGAACCTGAAAAAACCTCATATAGCCAAAGCAATCTTAAATAAAAATAACAAAATGGGAGGCATCTGTCTCCCTGACTTCAAGCTGTACTATAAAGCAATAATAGTTAAAGCAGCCTGTTACTGGCACAAGAATGGAAGCATGGATATCTGGAATAGATCTGAGATACCAGAGATGAAACCATCAGTATACGGTAATCTAATCTTTGATATAGCACTTGCTTTTTGATCGAGCACTGGGAAGGGGCAGAGGCGCAGCGTTTTGCTCTGGGAATAGTATCTATTATTAAGCTCTAAGTAAATGCTGGGGACTCAGGATATGTTTCCTCGTCCTGCGTGCCTTCTTTTGGGGGCCCAGCTGTCCCGACTCCAGACTCCACGTGCCCAGCCTGGCGGCTGATCCCAGGTGGGTTCATCCTCTGCCCGACCCCGCCACACACACACCAGCCACAGCAACTGGTTTGCAGATAAGCTCTTCCATGTAGGGCTGTCGAAAGAAAATGGATTAAGTGATTCACATAAAAGTTCAAGGCTTCACTCAGCTGCTGCCTACACCTGGGAATACTTGAAGACCAACCAGATAACCCAAGTTGAAGTAGGGTTGGAGTTTCACAGTGTGATAAAAACTGAGGAGCACGTGTCCTTGTAGCTTGGCTCGGGTCGCAGTTTTCACCGCTAACCTGTACAAGCTGTGGTTGGAGGCTGTTCCTGTTTTCCTGCCTCTCGCCCGGTGGGTGGGTGCAGGCCCTTCCCTACCACCGTCAGGACAGTATTCCCCAGCGCTGTCTGTCATTCGGTCAGGGTTCGGGGGCAGGGAAGCAGCCAGAGGGTTGGGGGAAGGGAACAGAGGAAAGGCCCTGAGGCGAAGGAGAACTGGGAACATGTGTTGAGTTCCTGCTGTCCTTTTCCAAGGACACCCAGAGTCTCCCACGGGTGCACGGCAGAGAGATGCCTTTATGTGGGAGCGCCAGCTGTGGGGACACATGGGCCTCTGAGGCTGCCTTACACGTCGTGAAGGGTCCTAAGGACGAAACCCGGTGACAGCAAGTGAAGGAGCAAAATGGCTGCTATCCTGTCTCTGACCTCCGGATCCAGCGGATCCCGAGCAGGATGTTCTTGGATTTCCCACCGTGGGAGCCACAAACTCACCAGCTTACGCCGTTTGGATTAAATTCCTATTGATTGCGATGGAAAGAGTCTTAATAACAAGCCATACTTTATCAAATTTGGCTGTGACAATCAGATCTTTGAAACAGATATTTTTATCCCCATTTTAAAGATGAGAAAATGGGCCATCCAGCTGGCAATTGGAGGGGCCTCTGTCAAATTGAGATTTTACTCCGAAATATGTGCAAGGGTCCTGACTACTTTCCAGGTTGGTTTTAATTTTAATTTTAATTTTTTTTTATTTTTTAACTTCTTTCAGTGGTCAATGGGAGACAGGAAATGTGATTGGAACTCTCCTCTCTGGGTATGAGGATGTGTCACGATGGCAAGAGTGAAGCCCGACTTAGCAGCACGCCAGGTGGGCATCCTGGACCAGAGACCAGAACCACAAGTGGGTGCCTGCCCCGAGCCAGCCGGCCCCTAGGCTCGGCCCATCAGGATGCAACTCACGCAAGTCCAACCGTGCACCTGCCAAGAAAGGGAGGCCCCAGGGAGCCACGCTGGCAGGTGAAGATGGAAGGCACGTGGCAGGCAGGCACAGGGCACCAAAGGCCACGTGCAAACTGCCACCGCAGGTGCCACGGGGGCTCACAAGAGCCTGCTGATGAGACAAGAGAACAGGGCAGACACAGAGAGAGGAAGTTACGTGCCTGGGAATGGAAGCCCAGCACAACCCAAGCGAGTGGCCAACAGACTGTCATGACCCCGGTGCCAGCTTTCCAATTTCAGTTTCTCCCAGGGAAATAATCAACTCCTAGTCTGGATCTTTGAACGTCACAGCGGGAATCAGGGAATGAGACAAAATCAAAAGGCTGAGACGTGTGCCTGTGTGTTCAGGCATCGTGAGGCCAGGGGCCGCCGTGCAGGATGCAGGCTGTCGGTCCGCTTCGCACGGAGAGAGCAGGTTATTCCAGCCTGTCGCAGCTCTGCCTTGGGCGCCCTGCATCAGAGCCAGGGCACTCGCTTCAGCGTTTCTGTAAGACCAGAGATCACCCTGCACCACACAGCCACAGCGCCCTGCCCCAACCCGTCCCCTCCCCCAGGACAGACCTGCGGATCTGGGCTGTGGCCTGGCGCCACCACCTATCACAGGCAGCAAGCCGCCCGGTGGTGGGGCCTGGCCCCTTCGCACAGCTGAAGTCCTTCAGGAGCGGCTGGAGCAGCACGCAGACTCGGGCACTGCCTGGCCCTGCACCGGCACGGAGCATGAAGGAGGAAACTCTCTGGCCTGAGCTCTGGGCGTCCTGGCAGTTTGGACATATTGTAATGCACATGAATTATAACGACCTCAGTTTGTTTTAAGCCATACAGGGGAGGTGCCCTGAAAATTTTCAGGACTTAGAAATGTTCCAGGCACTTTGCAAAGTGCTTTGAAAATACTACCAGGTTTAAGCTTCGCAGGAAACCCTGTGAGCTGAGGGCTTTATCTCCATTATGCAAGTAGAAAAGCAAAGGCTAAGAGAAGTGAAGGCGTTTTGCCCGAATTCTCCTAAGAAGTAGAAGGAATGTACCAGAAATGGGGAGTGATAGTCTGTCTGGTAAGCATTCTCTTTCCATGTGCATCCTGCATCTTACACCCATAAAAATGTCCTGTACTTCCTGCCATACAAATGCGTAACACCCAACAGCGCAGCGCGAAAGCCCCACTTCAGAGACACTGGTAGAGTGCAGCTTCTCTGAAGGGTGGGGAAGGGGCACGGGATTAGGGCTGTGATCCAGTGAAGGCAGCCTTGTCTGTAATGTGGAATCATGTTCTACAAGGAGAACAGTATTCATGCATTACTGCATTATTAAAAAGTAATACTAAAAAAATAGTCTTCCATTAAAAAGGAAGTTTATTTTGATGGAGGATGAGAGCTGGCCATCTGCCCAAGTTACTTACCTGCTCTGAGCCTCAGTTTTCTCAGTGGTAAAGTGGCAATAAGAGAATACATCTGCATGATAAGTGAATGAGACAATATTTAGAAAGTTCCCAGTGTACAATCACCATTCTGTGTCTGTTAGCTCTGGTTATTGGCTTTTTTTTTTTTTTTTTTTTGAGACAGAGTCTCGCTTTGTTGCCCTGGCTAGAATGAGTGCCATGGCGTCAGCCTAGTTCACAGCAACCTCAAACTCCTGGGTTCAAGCGATCCTGCTGCCTCAGCCTCCCAAGTAGCTGGGACGACAGGCAGGCACCACCATGCCCGCTAATTTTTCTATATATTTAGTTGGCCAATTAACTTCTTTCTATTTATAGTAGAGACGGGGTCTCGCTCTTGCTCAGGCTGGTTTCGAACTCCTGACCTCAAGCAATCTGCCCGCCTCTGCCTCCCAGAGTGCTAGGATTACAGGCGTGAGCCACTGCGCCCGGCCTGATTATTGGCCTTAAAACAATTGCTCTGCATCCTGAATTCCCTGCCTCAGTAATGACATCACCCAAGTCAGAGCCCTGGTAGACACCTGCCTCTCACTTCTTGCCTTAGAGACCAGCGAATCCTAAATCTTCTCCCTTAGACAAATGTGTCATCCAAATATTGCAATGACTTTATTACCAGTCTTCCCTGCTCTACCCTTTCCAATCTGTCCCTCCCAGTGGCCAGAGTGATCATCGTGTCCAGCTCACAGGCCCTGGAGAGCCTCTGCTCCTGCACGGTAAGGGCCAAATTCTGACCGTGGTGTTTGAAGTTCTTCCATATCCAGTTCTCTCTCTACTTCCATTGCATCTTATGCATGAGTCTCTCTGCTCTTTGGGAAACATGCTTCTAGGCCTCTACTTGGTTGTCTTATCTCTCTGACATATCCTTCTTCACTCTCCCTATTTCCCAAATATTGAGCTATATTTTGAACACCATCTCTTCTAGAATGTCTTACTCAACTCCATCCACCCATTCATCCATCCATCCACATATCTGTTCATCTATCTACCTATCCATTAATCCATCCACCATCCATCTATTCACCCATCCACCCATTCATCCAGCCAGCCACTTATCTGTTCATCTATCTACTCATCCACCTATTCATCCATTCATCTATCTACCTACCCACCCATTTATCTATCCATCCACCTATCCATTCATCTATCTACCCATCCACCCATTCATCCAGCCAGCCACTTATCTGTTCATCTATCTACTCATCCACCTATTCATCCATTCATCTATCTACCCACCCACCCATTTATCTATCCATCCACCTATCCATTCATCTATCTACCCATCCACCCATTCATACATCAATCCACCTATCTGTTCATCTATCTACCCATCCATTAATCCATCCACCATCCATCTATTCACCCATCCACCCATTAGTCCATCCATCCTCCTATTGTTCATCTGTCTACTCATCCACCTATTCATCCATCCATCCACCTATCCATTCATCTGTCTACCCATCCATTAATCCATCCATCCACCATCCATCCACTCATCCATCCACCCACAACATTCACTGAAGGCCTGCTATGTCCTAGGAACTCCAACCAACCCTAGAAATGCAGGGATTATCACCCTGCCCTCTAGCGCAGTAGACTCCAAAAAGGAGGGAGTATAGTGTCCCCGGGGGTGTCACATTTTTAAACCTTCTACTTCTAGTTAATGTTTATCTCGTCTTTTTTCATTTCTACTTTGTGTGTGTTTTAAAATACAGAATACATTAATTAGGCCAGCAGCACACGCAGACAAAGTGTAAAGTAAAACCCATACAATACAGGAAATGCTCGTTTTGTTTGACTGTTTGTTTAACTAATAGTGCCATGTGATCAAAAGACGATACTGGCACTGGGAGAACACTAACAGATGCTAACAGAAGCTAGTCACCCTACCCAGAGCCAGAGACTCGTGTAACTCCTCTGTTAAGGCATGTGTGATGTCCTGTCACCATCTGCATAGATCATGGTCGACTCGGGCTCTGGAGCCACGTGGACAGGCTGAGCTGAGCCCCAGCCTCCCCCCTGACTGTCTGCGTGGCCGTGTTTCCCAGCCTTCTGGGCCGCAGTGGTGGGAATCCCACAGGTGAATGGATGAAACATACCTCCTGGGCTCAACGCTGTGCTGCTGTCCCCATCGGCCTCGCCAGGCCGAGACCCTCACGTCCTGGGGCTGGCACAGTGCTCTGTGCCGGGTAGGTGCACGCAGGATGCGCGATGATGAAATCTCGCAGTTCCGGTGGATTCAGGAGACGTTTCCCTGGTGAATGTCGAATCCTCGTCAGCACCTGGAAGAGGGCCACACTCAGGAGCAACGACCTCGGCTTCAGCCCAGGACACTTACGGTGCAGGGAAGCCGTTTCATCTGGTCTCAAGTGTTAATTACAAACCTCTAGCAACCAAAACTCCAAACAGCACAGAGGAGAAGAAATTACACTATTTTTAGCAATATTTTGACAGCTATGTTAATAAACAATAATCTTCTCACCATCTGCCAGCTGATCACCGCTGGCCACCAAACAGATCGGCCTTTGGTTCTGCAGACAGGGGAACAGAGATGGGCGGGAAATGGTTCCTTTACAGTACAAATCCCAAAGAACAGGGTCACTGGCTTTGTAATGGTCTCAGCCATGCCGGCCGCTCGCTGCTCTGTGGACGTCATCCCTCCTTTTTCACTTCAACCTGCAAAATCATTTGAGGTGCACAGAATGCTGAGACAGTCCAATGACCAGCAGGACCCCACGACCTCTCAGGTTCTCTCTGTAAAGCAAAACAACTAGACTGGAAACACAACCCCTGGCGATGCTGAGCCCGGGTGGATTGTGAATAACTTAGCTGGTTATTCTCCCTCTCATTACTACTGATGGGCCTGTGGTGTATGGATATGCTGCCAATCACAGGCTTCCAGATGAATGCACAGGAGCCTTTTCACATCAGCAAATGAAGACAGTCATAATTCAATCACCAGTTTCTGGGTCAGGGAACCCCAGCTGTCAATGCTCATTGGCACAGGACCAGCACAGCACCCTCATCTCAGGGGCCTTTGTGGTGGAGAAAGTCAAGCCTGGACATGCACCCTGCTGGGGCATCAACCTGCCTCCACTCTGAAGTGGATGGTCGCTCTCCAATCAATGGGAATGAGAAGGGAGCTGGGAGGGAGGGAAGGAGGGAGGGAGGAGGGAAGGAGGGAAGGAGGGAAGAGGGAAGGAGGGAAGGAGGGAGGAAGGGAGGAGGGAAGGAGGGAGGAAGGAAGGAGGGAAGAGGGAAGGAGGGAAGGAGGGAGGAGGGAAGGAGGGAAGGAGGGAGGGAAGAAGGGAGAGAGGGAAGGAAAAAGAAAAAATGGAGTGAAGAAGGTGAGGTGGAAAAGGTCTTTTATTAAGACATAATTTTCCAAAGAACAAAAAAGCAGTGGCCATGATGTCTTTATAACCAATAATAGATTTTGGTGTTTGCCAATGACACTTCTAAGACAGGATAATTTTTCCATCTATACAAATAAGACATCAACACAGCACTGCAGTCAAGAGTTCTGACTTGGTGGTCAGGCAGCTCATTTGGACCCTAAAGCTCACTGCTGACTAGCTGGAACAAGCGAATCCACTCCTTTGCAATTTCTGAAAGTGTATTTGCACTTAATTCATAGCATTTTTTGAAGAGTAAATAAAACTGGTGCACTTTCTGGGCTTAGCACAGTGCCTGGCACTTATTAGGTGTGTGATAATTGCTTTAAATAGAAAGTGTTTATCAGAGGGACCCATCAGGCACTGATTTGGGGTCTCCGGCTACCTTGCGGGCTGCGGGGCTGACAAGTTGCCTTCAAGGCAGCGAGCCTTTTGGGGACGAGAGCCGCTGGGTGTCAGGGCCTCCTGACGGGCCGGCTGGGAGAACCAGGCCAGGGAGGCGGCTTCTCTATGGTAGCTCTGCTTCCAGGTCACAGAAGCATTGGAGAGAAGTCACGCCCACCCACAGTGCGCACACATAAATGACAGCTCCGGAGAAAACAACCGCTGGAACTTTTGGGAACTGCCAAAAACCTCCTTTTGTGCTCATCTCTCCAAATCGAGATTCACTTGGCAAGTGGCAGTTCTCGCTCTAATAAATTGACTCGCTCAAAAGTCAGGGCTCGAAGTGTTTTCAGGAGGAGGCTAAACTCAAACACTCAGTCGTACTTTCCCTTGCCCTGACGTGCTTCGAGGTTGACACATTTGCGTGTTCGGAGATGACCGACAGACTCCCCTCTGATCCTTTTTATGTCTCCAGTCAGGCAGTCCTGAAGCACCTCCCTTTCGTCATTCCTGTTGTGTGACCTGCAGATTCAGAGCTGCTAATTAGTGTCCACCGTCGTCTCATTTGAAAGTTTTCTCTCTCATTTTTTAGAGTTTTCAATAGCTTTTTAAAAATTATTTTTAATCAATAAAAGCTGCATATTACTACATACAACATGATACTTTGACATATGTATGCACTGTGAAACAGCGAAATCAAGCTATTTAACATATGGATTACCTCACATACTTATTACTTTGGGGGGCTGAGATCACTTAAAATTTACTGTCTTTGCAATTTTCAATTATACAATATTTTGTTATTAACTCTACTCACCGTGATGTGCAATGGATTTCTTGAACCTATTCCTCCTAACAAAACTTTTTCTTTTTTGACCAGCATCTCATCAGTCTACCCCAGCCCCCAGCCCCCAGCCTCTGGTAACCACCACTTTACTCTTTGCTTCTGTGAATGAGCCTCTTAGAGTCCACATATAGTTGAGATCGTGCAGCATTTGTCTTTTTTGCCTGGCTTATTTCACTTAGCATGACGTCCTCCAGGTTCATGCATGTGGTCACAAATGGCGGGATTTCCTTCTTCTTCAAGGCTGAATAGTATTCCACTGTGTGTCCGTACCATATCTTCTTTGTCCGTTCATCCACTGATGGAGTCAACTTGAATCCACATCTTGGCTATTGTGAACATGGGAGTGGAGATATCTCTTTGACACACTGATTTCATGCCCTTTGGACATATTTTCATTTGGGAGAAAAAAAAAATCTCTAAATGCTTTAGGTTCTCAATTTGACACAGGTGAAAGGGCTGCGTCTTCCTATCAAAGAACTCCCCGACATCATGCCCTGTTTTAGGCTGCCCTGGGTGTGGGTGGATGCTGAGCTGGACGCTGCCCCAGCCTGGGAGAGCTCCAGGCGCACTTGGCACGTGAAGGAGAAATTCGGCCGCTTCAGCCCGGGGTCTCCAGGAGACCCCAAGTTTTACCTCCCTCTGATCTAAGGGCCAAATGTGCCCCTCAATTCCTCTTTCCAATGCAACAATGTCGCCTGTTAACTGGCAGCTCTGAATCTGCAGGTCACACAACAGGCATGACGAAAGGGAGGTGCTTCAGGACTGCCTGACTGGAGACATAAAAAGGATCAGAGGGGAGTCTGTCGGTCACCTCCCAACACGCAAATGTGTCAACCTCGAAGCACGTCAGGGCAAGGGAAAGTACGACTGAGTCTTTGAGTTTAGCCTCCTCAAAACGTGCCCAGCATGAGACGCAGGTGTTAGGGCCCAACCCCTCTTCCCATTCCTTCTTCTGCAAACATGCCGGCCTGACTTTGGCTGCTCTCACGCCCCCGTCTGCTTTCTCTGCCGGGAACCGTGTGTTCATCCAACAGGGCCCAGATCCTAGGTCGCTCTACCAGCGTAGGTAAAGTGCCTTTGCTCTCCTCTCAGTCTCGCCAGGGGCCTGGCATAGAAGTTCAATGTGTAATTTCTGATTTATCAACTAATTGATCAGCAGAATAAACCCTCATCCCCAAAGCAAATCAAAGCCCCTCTCCAGTGGAGTGAACGAGGTCACGGAGCTCTGAACCCTGGGGCTCAGTTTGATTCGGCCCAAGGACACCCAGACCGCAGGACTGTGCTCTTGAGTGGCACCAGCCAGAGAAGGACTCAGGCTGGGTGCAGCCGAGGCCACCGGGGCGCGGCCGAGGCCACCGGGTGCAGCCTCTCCGCTGCACTGCAGGGCCGGCCTCGCCGGCCAGCCTGGCCCACCCCAGTCTGGCGGTGCACTCGCAGTTTCTCCTCACTTTCTGTTCCCTCGAGGACACCAAGAGTGCCTCGGTGCACTGTCGCTGACTAGAAGGACAGAGAAGAAGGAAGGGAGGAAGAAACTGAGGAGCGGATTCTGACGCAGCACATATCAGGCTCCCGCACCCAGGTTGTAGAAGGTATGATAGATCCTCGAAGGGAATGCGGAACAAGAATCTGGGGCAAACGAGCGCAAGGAAGCCTCTGGAATGGAGACAGGGGAGCAGGTCCAGGCGTGGGAAGGCAGACCTACAGAGGCCACTTGCGGCCCCCATTCCTCTGGAGACAGCCGTGGGCCATCGTTCTGCTCCAAAGCCGCCCCTGGCTGAGCGGGCGCCCTTCCCACGGCTGCGTTGCTCTCCCACGTATCTGGGGCTGACCGCCCCAGCAAAGAAAGACTGCCAGCAGCTGGAAACTTAAAACAAAGGATCTGCACAAAGGAATCTCATCCCCGTCCTTTCACTTGTTTGAAACAATTTCACCCTCTGCAGTCCCGCATGGTTCCCGCGTAACTTACCCTGCGAGGCCGGCCTGCGCGAGTGAGCGCGCCTGACGCCTTTGCTCGAGCTTCCACCTGCCAGTTAAGCTCTCAGCATCTTGGAAACGTATTGTCTGGAATGAAACAACCAATTATGCTTTCAGGTTTTGTGGCATAATATCGCAGAAACCAGCAATTATAGAATCAGAGTGGCATCAAATAGGGTGGAAAGGAGTTAGCGCAGATTATTCTTTAAATAGCAGTTACATGAACTCATAATAAATAGGTATTAAATGCTAAACGTATGATAAGTAATTCTTGACAATGCAATTATCCAAACAGAAAAGAGAAATGTGGCAAAGTGGCACTGTCAACCTCTTTGTGCTCGGCATGCTCAGCAAGACAAGACGTGGGTGACTTTGTCTCCGTTCCAGTGTGCAGTGCAAGAAAACAGACGTGGGCACTGAAGGGAATTCAATTCCTAAGAGATGGCAAGTTTTCAAAAAAGCAAAGCCCTTTTCCACTGGGCAGAATGTGGCTACCCAAAAAATTCCATAACAAGCTCTGCTGATACACGGCCAGTGAATCAAACAAATTTAAGGAGTCCCTGCTATGACATAATTTGCATGAATGTACCTAGCCCAGTCACTGGCAAATAGTAGATGCATAGGGAATGGTTGTTGAATTTATATGGCAATTAGAAGCAAAGCTGTTACGTAAGGCTACACAGGTTGTGCACCGCACAATTCCAGGGAGCAACATTCATGCAGACTATGATATGAATAGCCTCCCTTGGAGTTAAAAGAGGCTGTGACCCTGCTTAGAAGGTACAGTAGAATTCATATCTTGGTACTTCAGTTTGATTCTCACCAAAGAGAATCAAATTTCAACTCAGTCAATGGTCTTCAGCAATATTTTTCAATGAGTAAAAGTGAGGGTCTATTGCCAGCCAACCTGAAGTCAAATCCAAGTTTCCCTTACAAGGTGTGTGTCTTTGGGAAAATTACTTAACATCTCTGAGCCTCTATTTTCCTAGTTACACAAGATGAATAAATAATAGTATCTATTTCAAGAGCATATTTATGAGGATTAAATTTATGTAATGCGTTAATAAATAACTACTCATAGTACTACTTCCCTATTCTTCCTGGACACTCAGCCCCTGACCCTTGGTGTGGCAAAGTGACTGAGTTCAGGCCAATAGGATGTGAGTAAAACTGAAGCCTGCCACTTCCCAGCCTGGCGCAGAAGACCCAGCAGAGACCTCCGGAGTGCCGAAGGAGGGCAGAGCACCAAGGTGGAAGGAACTTGGGTCCCTGAAACAGCCCATGGAGGAGAGCTCCGTGCCTATGAGGCACTCTGAGCAAGAAATAAAGCTCTATCGTCTCAAACCACAGGAATTGGTTCGGGGCCGATTGGTTATAGCAGTTTCCGTTATCCCAGCTAGCATACACATCCAGAGGACTGAGTGTGTAACCACGCCGCCTTGGGCAAGGCTGGTGAGGCCAGGCGCAGATCAGAGGAGAGAGACCGGGCGAGTTTCGCAGTCCCAGGGAGGATGGCAGCTGCGCGCAGGCCACCCACCGAGCAGCGGCGCGGGCAGGGGGGCGGAGAGCGACAGCAAGCGCCTTCGCCGCGGTTTCCTCGGAGGAACGGGTGAGGCCGGAGGCAGGTTGGGAATGGCCGGGAGGAGCGGTTTCAGTGGGCTTTGGGACAGAGGGGCTGCCCGGTTGTCTAGGCGAGTGGGGCAGGTGTACGCTGCCCCGGAGTGCGAAAGCCCAAGGCCGGTGGCTGGGAGCGTGGACACAGCTGTTTAAGGGGACCGAACGGCCTCTAGCCCGAGCCTCAGAGCTGGACCGAGCAGCGTTCAGAAAACGCCGTCCCTGCGCCCGGCGCCCCTCTGCGCAGCGGGCCGGGCGCTTTCTGCGGGGTCCGGGAGTCCGCGTGGGGGCTCAGAGGCGAAGCAGCGCGGTTCCGCGGGTTACACGAGCGGCCGGCTGCGCAGAAAGGAACTGCGGCCGAGTAGGCGAGTCTCCAGAAGAGCTGCTAGAAACTGCTCCGCAGTCTGCCGCCGACACCACCATGCGTCGGCGCGGAAGCCCGCAGGGATAAACCACAGGCCACCCAGACCGAGCTCGCACGCACACGTCAGGACGCTCGGCACGCACACGTCAGAACCCGGCACGCGCACGTCAGGAGTCGGCACGCGCACGTCAGAACGCTCGCACGCGCACTTAGGACGCTCGCACGCACAGGACGCTCGCACGCGCCAGAACACGCACGCGCGCGTCAGAACACTGTACCACGTCAGAACACTGGCGAGCGAAGGTGACGCTCTTGCGTCTTGTGAGTGCTGCCTGCTGCGATCGGCGCCGTCCGTTCCTGCCAGAACAAACTTCCACCGTTCCTGTTTCCCCAATCGTGCTGCGATGTCCTGAATCCTCTTTCAAGGAAATACCCCCTGCACTTCAGCCCTCCTCACCGATCTCTCCAGTCCCTTTAGCGGAGACTGCTTCCTCACGATGCAGAAAATGTCGGGCGCCGACGAGGACGAGGCCGCCTCCCCGCCGGGCAGCCTGGGCCCGAGCCGGAACGCCGCTGGGCCCACGCGATGCAGAAAATGTCGGGCGGGGCAGACAGGCCCGGGCCCTACCCGCCGGGCGCTGGAACCCCGAGCCGGAACGCCGCTGGGCCCACGCGCCGCCTCCCCGCACTGTGCGGGCGGCCAGGCCCAGGCCCCACTGCAGGCAGGCTGGAACCCCGAGCCGGAACGCCGCTGGGCCCACGCGCCGCCTCCCCGCACTGCGCGGGCAGACAGGCCGAGGCCCTACTGCAGGCAGGCTGGAACCCCGAGCCGGAACGCCGCTGGGCCCACGCGCCGCCTCCCCGCACTGCGCGGGCGGCCAGGCCCAGGCCCTACTGCAGGCAGGCTGGAACCCCGAGCCGGAACGCCGCTGGGCCCACGCGCCTCCTCCTCCCGCACTGAGGCCGCCGTCTGGGGCCCTGCAGGCGCTCCAGTCTCCTGTCATCCCGCCGGATGTTAAAGCTGGTTGCTGATTGGATGTTAAAGGTGGTTGCTGATTGGATGTTAAGACTTGTAGTTGATTGGACGCTTTTTGAGCCCTACCAAGGGTATAAAAGCAGGAGGAGACCAAGGCCGAAGGGCAGAAGACCGGAAGGGAGCTGTTATCCTGGGCGGGCTGAGCCTGCTGTGGAAGAGTGAAGGCTGTTTTCTGACTCTTCCTGTGCCGCTGGGTTCTTTCCCCCGCCAAGAGCTGTAACGCATGTTGCCGCAACAGGTAAGCCACCGCTTTCCTGGCAGCCCTGTGGAGACGGCCCACACTCCTGCAGACTCATTCCCCACGTGGGGAGCTGGGCTGGGCACGTTGCCACCCTCCCTCCCCCACTTCCAGTCTTTCACTCGTCAACCCAATGTGAAACTCCTGCTCCTCTGGCCGCACACAGGTGTGTTTCATGGCCCTTACCCCTCCTCACTGCTGGTCCTCTACTTATCCAGTCACCCTGCCCCTTCCTTAGTAAACACTAGGTTCCTGGTTCTCATTATCCCTCTCTCTTCATCTCCCCAGGCCCTGCTGGTATCAAGGTGATTCCAGCAGCCATACGGACACCCATGAATCCGACATTCTGGTTTCATCTCTGACGTCCTCTTTGCCCATGATGTTTACCTTTACTCCTCTTCATCCATTCACTTCCATGGTGATTCTCTGGGCTTAGCATGACCTACAGCTCTTCACTGAGGGAATATCAAACCCAGGCATGGTACTTCCTGAATGTAATCTCTTGTCTTTCTAAGACTCTGAGTTGGTTTCTTCCACTATACCTGATCGTCATAATCAAAGAGACCTCAAGTCTCTCAAGGTCTTAACTAGCTCTTCCTCAGCCCTCTCCCCTGGCTGCACTTCTATCCCCATCAACTTGGACCTTAAAAATCACGACTTTCAAATCCTTCTTGCCAATAGCTTCAATTCACCGAACCCACGGGTGCCTCTGCCACACCTGCCAGCCAAGTTCCAACCTCCTCTCATCTCTGACGTCTGGATTCTCCTGCTCACACCCTAGCTACCAAGCCCCAGGGAATGGGGAAAATCTCACCACCGTGCAGGTTGGTGGCAAGGTCTTCAGCCTCACCTGGGGCCTCAGTTTTTCTAGAAACTACTCTCGGTTTCCAGAGCACTGTCTCTCTCACTATCTGGAACAGCTATTTCAAATTTTTCCACATTTCTCAAATCTCTTACCCCACCACTTCCCACTCACTCTAGGCAGATAACCTCACCTCCTACTGCGCAGAAAAAAAAATAGAATCCTTTAGATAGAAACTCCCGCAAATGCCTGATACCAGTCCTGCATGGCGACTTGCATCTGTGTCCATCCTCACTTCCTCTGTGATAGTGAAGGGAGATACCATCTCTCTCACCTGTGCTGGACTTCCTCCTCTCCTGCCCTCTTAGGGACCTTACCCAACTTTGCTCACCCTTTCCTATAACTTCGAATGCTCCCTCTCTTGTTTCTGTAGTGTCCTATTTAAATGGATATAGTTTCTCTAAATCAAACACTATCCCCCGTCAACTCTCCAAAGCACCAGCTACAGCTCAGCTTCCCCACACAGCAAAGTGCTTGAGAGAGGTGCTTCCCCTCACATTCTCACTCCCCCGCCTCCCTGCACAGGCTCCTCACCAGGAGGACCAGCAGCCTCGCTCCCCATGTGCAGACTCGGTAACAATCCCCCTCTCCTGTCCTCAACCTTCCTAGGGTCAACGGTGAGACTGCTTCCTTGGCAATACACACTCCCAGTGCTCCTCCCACTTCTCTGGCCACTCTCACTCATTCTTCAGCAGGGTTAGGTCTTAAGTGCTGAGGTTCCTCAGGACTCTGTTCTGGCTGCTCTTCAGTGCGGACTCGTGTTTCTCTCAAGCCCATTTTGCACATTCCTATGGCTTCAATAACTTTCTCTATACTGTTGACTCCAAATTGGCTTTTCCAGCCTAGCTCTCCCCTGAGTTTCAGGCTGCCTTTCCAAAAGCATCCTGGGCTTCTCTATCTGGATGTCCCACAGGCACATCAACTTGTCCCAAGCTGGTGACTCTCCAGATACTCCTATTAATATCTCACCTCATAATGCTCAAGTAGAGTACCTGGTACCTCCTTAGGTCACCTTCTCCCCTTCATCTCTATACTCATCTTCCATTTAACTAATCTTCCCACTGTATATATTTTTTCTTATTTCAGCATATGGGGATACAAATGTTAAGGTTACGTATATTGCCCATGCCCTCACTCCCACCTGCCCAACACCTGATAAATGTTATTCCTATATGTCTACTAAAGTGTTGATCCGTTAATACCAATTTGCTGGTGAGTACATGTGGTGCTTGTTTTTCCATTCTTGAGATATATCACTTAGTAGAATGGGTTCCAGCTGTAGCAAGGAAAATACAAGAAGTGCTATATCACCATTGTTTCTTAAAGCTGAATAGTACTCCATGGTATACATGTACCACTTTTTATTAATCCACTCATGTGTTGATGGGCACCTGGGTTGTTTCCACACCTTTGCAATTGTGAACTGTGCTGCTATAAACATTTGAGTGCAGGTGTTCCATTTGTAGAGTGTCATTTGATCTTTTGGGTAGATGCCCAGTAGTAGAATTGCTGGATCAAATGGTAGATCTACTTGTATCTCTTTAAGTTATCTCCATATTGCTTTCCACAGAGGCTGAACCAGTTTGCAGTCCCACCAGCAGTGTAGGACTGTCCCTATCTCTCCCCATCCATGCCAACATTTATTGTTTGGGGACTTTTTGATAAAGGCCATTCTTACTGGAGATAAGTGATATCTCATTGCAGTTTTGATTTGCATTTCCCTGATTAGAGATGTTCAGCATTTGTTCATATGTTTGTTGGCCTTTATTCTGTCTTCTTTTGAAAACTTTCTGCTCATGTCCTTTGCCCACTTTTTGATAGGGTTGCTTGATTCTTTTTTTTTTTCCTTGCTGATTTTCCTGAGCTCTAAATAAATTCTAGTTATCCGCCCTTTGTCGAATGTGTAGCTTGCGAAAATTTTCTCCCATTCTGTGGGTTGTCTGTTTGCTTTCTTGACGGTTTCTTTGGCTGTGCAGAAGCTTTTTAATTTGATCAGGTCCGATTTATTTATTTTTGTTGCTGCAGTGATTGCCTTTGGGGTCGTCTTCATAAATTCTTTGCCTAGGCCAATGTCTAGAAGAGTATTTCCAACATTTTCCTCTAGAATTCTAATAGTTTCACACCTAATGTTCAATTCTGTTACCCAGTGTGAGTTGATTTTTGTGAGAGGTGAAAGGTGTGGGTCCTGATTCAATCTTCTGCATGTGGCTATCCAGTTTTCCCAGCACCATTGATTGAATAAGGATTCTTTCCCCCAGTGTATGTTTTTGTCTGCTTTCTTGAAGATTAGTTGGCTATTTGTGATGGTTTTATATCTGGGTTCTCTGTTCTGTTCCACTGGTCAATGTCCCTGTTCTTGTGCCCATCCAAAGCTGTTTTAATTACTATAGCCTTGTAGTATAGTTTGAAATCTGGTAAATTGATACCTCCTATTTTGTTTTTATTGCCTAGGATTGATTTTGCTATACGGGGTCTTCTCTGGTTCCATACGAAGCATAAAATTATTTTTTCTATATCTGTGAAAAATGATGATGGTATTTTAATAGGGATTGCATTGACTCTGTAGGTCACTTTGGGTAGTATAGACATTGTAACAATGTTGAATCTGCCAACCCATGAGCATGGTATATTCTTCCATCTGCTATTTCTTTCTTTAGTGTTTTTCATAGTTCTCCCTGTAGAGGTCTTTTACCTCCTTAGTTAAATATATTCCTAGGTACTTTATTTTCTTTGTTGCTACTTTGAAGGGAATTGAGTATTTGATTTGGTT